ACGCAGCCCCAGGCCAGCGGAGACCGGGCCCCCCCTCCTCGCCCACCTCCCTGCAGGGTCCACTCGGTCACCCGGGCGCTGTAGACCCCCAGGCCGGCGCTGTTGTACGCCGCCACCTCGATCTCGTAGTTGGTCCAGATGATCAGGTCCTCCAGGAGCAGGTTGTTGACCTCGGCGTTGGTGATGTTCTTGAACTGGTAGCCCACGGGCAGGCCGGCCAGGCAGAACCTGGGGGCAGGGTGGGGAGGTCAGGCCAGCGGGACCGTCACCCGGGCGCTGTAGACCCCCAGGCCGGCGCTGTTGTACGCCGCCACCTCGATCTCGTAGTTGGTCCAGATGATCAGGTCCTCCAGGAGCAGGTTGTTGACCTCGGCGTTGGTGATGTTCTTGAACTGGTAGCCCACGGGCAGGCCGGCCAGGCAGAACCTGGGGGCAGGGTGGGGAGGTCAGGCCAGCGGGACCCCTCTGCAGCACAGCCCCCCAGTGCCTCCTCCTACTGCGGATCCTGCAGCACAGCCCCCCAGTGCCTCCTCCTACTGCGGATCCTGCAGCACAGCCCCCCAGTGCCTCCTCCTACTGCGGATCCTGCAGCACAGCCCCCCAGTGCCTCCTCCTACTGCGGATCCTGCAGCACAGCCCCCCAGTGCCTCCTCCTACTGCGGATCCTGCAGCACAGCCCCCCAGTGCCTCCTCCTACTGCGGATCCTGCAGCACAGCCCCCCAGTGCCTCCTCCTACTGCGGATCCTGCAGCACAGCCCCCCAGTGCCTCCTCCTACTGCGGATCCTGCAGCACAGCCCCCCAGTGCCTCCTCCTACTGCGGATCCTGCAGCACAGCCCCCCAGTGCCTCCTCCTACTGCGGATCCTGCAGCACAGCCCCCCAGTGCCTCCTCCTACTGCGGATCCTGCAGCACAGCCCCCCAGTGCCTCCTCCTACTGCGGATCCTGCAGCACAGCCCCCCAGTGCCTCCTCCTACTGCGGATCCTGCAGCACAGCCCCCCAGTGCCTCCTCCTACTGCGGATCCTGCAGCACAGCCCCCCAGTGCCTCCTCCTACTGCGGATCCTGCAGCACAGCCCCCCAGTGCCTCCTCCTACTGCGGATCCTGCAGCACAGCCCCCCAGTGCCTCCTCCTACTGCGGATCCTGCAGCACAGCCCCCCAGTGCCTCCTCCTACTGCGGATCCTGCAGCACAGCCCCCCAGTGCCTCCTCCTACTGCGGATCCTGCAGCACAGCCCCCCAGTGCCTCCTCCTACTGCGGATCCTGCAGCACAGCCCCCCAGTGCCTCCTCCTACTGCGGATCCTGCAGCACAGCCCCCCAGTGCCTCCTCCTACTGCGGATCCTGCAGCACAGCCCCCCAGTGCCTCCTCCTACTGCGGATCCTGCAGCACAGCCCCCCAGTGCCTCCTCCTACTGCGGATCCTGCAGCACAGCCCCCCAGTGCCTCCTCCTACTGCGGATCCTGCAGCACAGCCCCCCAGTGCCTCCTCCTACTGCGGATCCTGCAGCACAGCCCCCCAGTGCCTCCTCCTACTGCGGATCCTGCAGCACAGCCCCCCAGTGCCTCCTCCTACTGCGGATCCTGCAGCACAGCCCCCCAGTGCCTCCTCCTACTGCGGATCCTGCAGCACAGCCCCCCAGTGCCTCCTCCTACTGCGGATCCTGCAGCACAGCCCCCCAGTGCCTCCTCCTACTGCGGATCCTGCAGCACAGCCCCCCAGTGCCTCCTCCTACTGCGGATCCTGCAGCACAGCCCCCCAGTGCCTCCTCCTACTGCGGATCCTGCAGCACAGCCCCCCAGTGCCTCCTCCTACTGCGGATCCTGCAGCACAGCCCCCCAGTGCCTCCTCCTACTGCGGATCCTGCAGCACAGCCCCCCAGTGCCTCCTCCTACTGCGGATCCTGCAGCACAGCCCCCCAGTGCCTCCTCCTACTGCGGATCCTGCAGCACAGCCCCCCAGTGCCTCCTCCTACTGCGGATCCTGCAGCACAGCCCCCCAGTGCCTCCTCCTACTGCGGATCCTGCAGCACAGCCCCCCAGTGCCTCCTCCTACTGCGGATCCTGCAGCACAGCCCCCCAGTGCCTCCTCCTACTGCGGATCCTGCAGCACAGCCCCCCAGTGCCTCCTCCTACTGCGGATCCTGCAGCACAGCCCCCCAGTGCCTCCTCCTACTGCGGATCCTGCAGCACAGCCCCCCAGTGCCTCCTCCTACTGCGGATCCTGCAGCACAGCCCCCCAGTGCCTCCTCCTACTGCGGATCCTGCAGCACAGCCCCCCAGTGCCTCCTCCTACTGCGGATCCTGCAGCACAGCCCCCCAGTGCCTCCTCCTACTGCGGATCCTGCAGCACAGCCCCCCAGTGCCTCCTCCTACTGCGGATCCTGCAGCACAGCCCCCCAGTGCCTCCTCCTACTGCGGATCCTGCAGCACAGCCCCCCAGTGCCTCCTCCTACTGCGGATCCTGCAGCACAGCCCCCCAGTGCCTCCTCCTACTGCGGATCCTGCAGCACAGCCCCCCAGTGCCTCCTCCTACTGCGGATCCTGCAGCACAGCCCCCCAGTGCCTCCTCCTACTGCGGATCCTGCAGCACAGCCCCCCAGTGCCTCCTCCTACTGCGGATCCTGCAGCACAGCCCCCCAGTGCCTCCTCCTACTGCGGATCCTGCAGCACAGCCCCCCAGTGCCTCCTCCTACTGCGGATCCTGCAGCACAGCCCCCCAGTGCCTCCTCCTACTGCGGATCCTGCAGCACAGCCCCCCAGTGCCTCCTCCTACTGCGGATCCTGCAGCACAGCCCCCCAGTGCCTCCTCCTACTGCGGATCCTGCAGCACAGCCCCCCAGTGCCTCCTCCTACTGCGGATCCTGCAGCACAGCCCCCCAGTGCCTCCTCCTACTGCGGATCCTGCAGCACAGCCCCCCAGTGCCTCCTCCTACTGCGGATCCTGCAGCACAGCCCCCCAGTGCCTCCTCCTACTGCGGATCCTGCAGCACAGCCCCCCAGTGCCTCCTCCTACTGCGGATCCTGCAGCACAGCCCCCCAGTGCCTCCTCCTACTGCGGATCCTGCAGCACAGCCCCCCAGTGCCTCCTCCTACTGCGGATCCTGCAGCACAGCCCCCCAGTGCCTCCTCCTACTGCGGATCCTGCAGCACAGCCCCCCAGTGCCTCCTCCTACTGCGGATCCTGCAGCACAGCCCCCCAGTGCCTCCTCCTACTGCGGATCCTGCAGCACAGCCCCCCAGTGCCTCCTCCTACTGCGGATCCTGCAGCACAGCCCCCCAGTGCCTCCTCCTACTGCGGATCCTGCAGCACAGCCCCCCAGTGCCTCCTCCTACTGCGGATCCTGCAGCACAGCCCCCCAGTGCCTCCTCCTACTGCGGATCCTGCAGCACAGCCCCCCAGTGCCTCCTCCTACTGCGGATCCTGCAGCACAGCCCCCCAGTGCCTCCTCCTACTGCGGATCCTGCAGCACAGCCCCCCAGTGCCTCCTCCTACTGCGGATCCTGCAGCACAGCCCCCCAGTGCCTCCTCCTACTGCGGATCCTGCAGCACAGCCCCCCAGTGCCTCCTCCTACTGCGGATCCTGCAGCACAGCCCCCCAGTGCCTCCTCCTACTGCGGATCCTGCAGCACAGCCCCCCAGTGCCTCCTCCTACTGCGGATCCTGCAGCACAGCCCCCCAGTGCCTCCTCCTACTGCGGATCCTGCAGCACAGCCCCCCAGTGCCTCCTCCTACTGCGGATCCTGCAGCACAGCCCCCCAGTGCCTCCTCCTACTGCGGATCCTGCAGCACAGCCCCCCAGTGCCTCCTCCTACTGCGGATCCTGCAGCACAGCCCCCCAGTGCCTCCTCCTACTGCGGATCCTGCAGCACAGCCCCCCAGTGCCTCCTCCTACTGCGGATCCTGCAGCACAGCCCCCCAGTGCCTCCTCCTACTGCGGATCCTGCAGCACAGCCCCCCAGTGCCTCCTCCTACTGCGGATCCTGCAGCACAGCCCCCCAGTGCCTCCTCCTACTGCGGATCCTGCAGCACAGCCCCCCAGTGCCTCCTCCTACTGCGGATCCTGCAGCACAGCCCCCCAGTGCCTCCTCCTACTGCGGATCCTGCAGCACAGCCCCCCAGTGCCTCCTCCTACTGCGGATCCTGCAGCACAGCCCCCCAGTGCCTCCTCCTACTGCGGATCCTGCAGCACAGCCCCCCAGTGCCTCCTCCTACTGCGGATCCTGCAGCACAGCCCCCCAGTGCCTCCTCCTACTGCGGATCCTGCAGCACAGCCCCCCAGTGCCTCCTCCTACTGCGGATCCTGCAGCACAGCCCCCCAGTGCCTCCTCCTACTGCGGATCCTGCAGCACAGCCCCCCAGTGCCTCCTCCTACTGCGGATCCTGCAGCACAGCCCCCCAGTGCCTCCTCCTACTGCGGATCCTGCAGCACAGCCCCCCAGTGCCTCCTCCTACTGCGGATCCTGCAGCACAGCCCCCCAGTGCCTCCTCCTACTGCGGATCCTGCAGCACAGCCCCCCAGTGCCTCCTCCTACTGCGGATCCTGCAGCACAGCCCCCCAGTGCCTCCTCCTACTGCGGATCCTGCAGCACAGCCCCCCAGTGCCTCCTCCTACTGCGGATCCTGCAGCACAGCCCCCCAGTGCCTCCTCCTACTGCGGATCCTGCAGCACAGCCCCCCAGTGCCTCCTCCTACTGCGGATCCTGCAGCACAGCCCCCCAGTGCCTCCTCCTACTGCGGATCCTGCAGCACAGCCCCCCAGTGCCTCCTCCTACTGCGGATCCTGCAGCACAGCCCCCCAGTGCCTCCTCCTACTGCGGATCCTGCAGCACAGCCCCCCAGTGCCTCCTCCTACTGCGGATCCTGCAGCACAGCCCCCCAGTGCCTCCTCCTACTGCGGATCCTGCAGCACAGCCCCCCAGTGCCTCCTCCTACTGCGGATCCTGCAGCACAGCCCCCCAGTGCCTCCTCCTACTGCGGATCCTGCAGCACAGCCCCCCAGTGCCTCCTCCTACTGCGGATCCTGCAGCACAGCCCCCCAGTGCCTCCTCCTACTGCGGATCCTGCAGCACAGCCCCCCAGTGCCTCCTCCTACTGCGGATCCTGCAGCACAGCCCCCCAGTGCCTCCTCCTACTGCGGATCCTGCAGCACAGCCCCCCAGTGCCTCCTCCTACTGCGGATCCTGCAGCACAGCCCCCCAGTGCCTCCTCCTACTGCGGATCCTGCAGCACAGCCCCCCAGTGCCTCCTCCTACTGCGGATCCTGCAGCACAGCCCCCCAGTGCCTCCTCCTACTGCGGATCCTGCAGCACAGCCCCCCAGTGCCTCCTCCTACTGCGGATCCTGCAGCACAGCCCCCCAGTGCCTCCTCCTACTGCGGATCCTGCAGCACAGCCCCCCAGTGCCTCCTCCTACTGCGGATCCTGCAGCACAGCCCCCCAGTGCCTCCTCCTACTGCGGATCCTGCAGCACAGCCCCCCAGTGCCTCCTCCTACTGCGGATCCTGCAGCACAGCCCCCCAGTGCCTCCTCCTACTGCGGATCCTGCAGCACAGCCCCCCAGTGCCTCCTCCTACTGCGGATCCTGCAGCACAGCCCCCCAGTGCCTCCTCCTACTGCGGATCCTGCAGCACAGCCCCCCAGTGCCTCCTCCTACTGCGGATCCTGCAGCACAGCCCCCCAGTGCCTCCTCCTACTGCGGATCCTGCAGCACAGCCCCCCAGTGCCTCCTCCTACTGCGGATCCTGCAGCACAGCCCCCCAGTGCCTCCTCCTACTGCGGATCCTGCAGCACAGCCCCCCAGTGCCTCCTCCTACTGCGGATCCTGCAGCACAGCCCCCCAGTGCCTCCTCCTACTGCGGATCCTGCAGCACAGCCCCCCAGTGCCTCCTCCTACTGCGGATCCTGCAGCACAGCCCCCCAGTGCCTCCTCCTACTGCGGATCCTGCAGCACAGCCCCCCAGTGCCTCCTCCTACTGCGGATCCTGCAGCACAGCCCCCCAGTGCCTCCTCCTACTGCGGATCCTGCAGCACAGCCCCCCAGTGCCTCCTCCTACTGCGGATCCTGCAGCACAGCCCCCCAGTGCCTCCTCCTACTGCGGATCCTGCAGCACAGCCCCCCAGTGCCTCCTCCTACTGCGGATCCTGCAGCACAGCCCCCCAGTGCCTCCTCCTACTGCGGATCCTGCAGCACAGCCCCCCAGTGCCTCCTCCTACTGCGGATCCTGCAGCACAGCCCCCCAGTGCCTCCTCCTACTGCGGATCCTGCAGCACAGCCCCCCAGTGCCTCCTCCTACTGCGGATCCTGCAGCACAGCCCCCCAGTGCCTCCTCCTACTGCGGATCCTGCAGCACAGCCCCCCAGTGCCTCCTCCTACTGCGGATCCTGCAGCACAGCCCCCCAGTGCCTCCTCCTACTGCGGATCCTGCAGCACAGCCCCCCAGTGCCTCCTCCTACTGCGGATCCTGCAGCACAGCCCCCCAGTGCCTCCTCCTACTGCGGATCCTGCAGCACAGCCCCCCAGTGCCTCCTCCTACTGCGGATCCTGCAGCACAGCCCCCCAGTGCCTCCTCCTACTGCGGATCCTGCAGCACAGCCCCCCAGTGCCTCCTCCTACTGCGGATCCTGCAGCACAGCCCCCCAGTGCCTCCTCCTACTGCGGATCCTGCAGCACAGCCCCCCAGTGCCTCCTCCTACTGCGGATCCTGCAGCACAGCCCCCCAGTGCCTCCTCCTACTGCGGATCCTGCAGCACAGCCCCCCAGTGCCTCCTCCTACTGCGGATCCTGCAGCACAGCCCCCCAGTGCCTCCTCCTACTGCGGATCCTGCAGCACAGCCCCCCAGTGCCTCCTCCTACTGCGGATCCTGCAGCACAGCCCCCCAGTGCCTCCTCCTACTGCGGATCCTGCAGCACAGCCCCCCAGTGCCTCCTCCTACTGCGGATCCTGCAGCACAGCCCCCCAGTGCCTCCTCCTACTGCGGATCCTGCAGCACAGCCCCCCAGTGCCTCCTCCTACTGCGGATCCTGCAGCACAGCCCCCCAGTGCCTCCTCCTACTGCGGATCCTGCAGCACAGCCCCCCAGTGCCTCCTCCTACTGCGGATCCTGCAGCACAGCCCCCCAGTGCCTCCTCCTACTGCGGATCCTGCAGCACAGCCCCCCAGTGCCTCCTCCTACTGCGGATCCTGCAGCACAGCCCCCCAGTGCCTCCTCCTACTGCGGATCCTGCAGCACAGCCCCCCAGTGCCTCCTCCTACTGCGGATCCTGCAGCACAGCCCCCCAGTGCCTCCTCCTACTGCGGATCCTGCAGCACAGCCCCCCAGTGCCTCCTCCTACTGCGGATCCTGCAGCACAGCCCCCCAGTGCCTCCTCCTACTGCGGATCCTGCAGCACAGCCCCCCAGTGCCTCCTCCTACTGCGGATCCTGCAGCACAGCCCCCCAGTGCCTCCTCCTACTGCGGATCCTGCAGCACAGCCCCCCAGTGCCTCCTCCTACTGCGGATCCTGCAGCACAGCCCCCCAGTGCCTCCTCCTACTGCGGATCCTGCAGCACAGCCCCCCAGTGCCTCCTCCTACTGCGGATCCTGCAGCACAGCCCCCCAGTGCCTCCTCCTACTGCGGATCCTGCAGCACAGCCCCCCAGTGCCTCCTCCTACTGCGGATCCTGCAGCACAGCCCCCCAGTGCCTCCTCCTACTGCGGATCCTGCAGCACAGCCCCCCAGTGCCTCCTCCTACTGCGGATCCTGCAGCACAGCCCCCCAGTGCCTCCTCCTACTGCGGATCCTGCAGCACAGCCCCCCAGTGCCTCCTCCTACTGCGGATCCTGCAGCACAGCCCCCCAGTGCCTCCTCCTACTGCGGATCCTGCAGCACAGCCCCCCAGTGCCTCCTCCTACTGCGGATCCTGCAGCACAGCCCCCCAGTGCCTCCTCCTACTGCGGATCCTGCAGCACAGCCCCCCAGTGCCTCCTCCTACTGCGGATCCTGCAGCACAGCCCCCCAGTGCCTCCTCCTACTGCGGATCCTGCAGCACAGCCCCCCAGTGCCTCCTCCTACTGCGGATCCTGCAGCACAGCCCCCCAGTGCCTCCTCCTACTGCGGATCCTGCAGCACAGCCCCCCAGTGCCTCCTCCTACTGCGGATCCTGCAGCACAGCCCCCCAGTGCCTCCTCCTACTGCGGATCCTGCAGCACAGCCCCCCAGTGCCTCCTCTCCGGGGGCACCGCACAGCACAGCCCCCCAGTGCCTCCTCCTACTGCGGATCCTGCAGCACAGCCCCCCAGTGCCTCCTCCTACTGCGGATCCTGCAGCACAGCCCCCCAGTGCCTCCTCCTACTGCGGATCCTGTAGCACAGCCCCCTAGTGCCTCCTCCTACTGGGGATCCTGCAGCACAGTCCCCCAGTGCCTCACTGGGGTCAGTGCCTCCTACTGGGGAGCCCCACAGCACAGCGCCCCCTAGTGCCTCACTGGGGCCAGCGCTTCCTACTGGGGAGCCCCACAGCACAGCGCCCCCTAGTGCCTCACTGGGGCCAGCGCCTCCTACTGGGGAGCCCCACAGCACAGCGCCCCCTAGTGCCTCACTGGGGCCAGCGCCTCCTACTGGGGAGCCCCACAGCACAGCGCCCCCTAGTGCCTCACGGCCTAGCTAGATTCTCTCTGGAGGTCTCCCAGCTAGGGGCAGCCTGGGCCCATCCCAGCTGGGCTCCCAGCCTGTGGCACACGCGAGGGGCTGGTGCCAGGCACTGACAGGCCCAGGAGCCTAGGGTCCTAGCCCCCGGCTGGGCGCTATTCCATGGCCCGCGGGGCTGAGAGCTGGCACCTACTGGTCACTGCCAGGTACGTGGAGGTCTGCACCTCGCCGGCCGCGTTGCGGGCGAAGCACTGGAACATGCCGGTGTCGTCAG